CTTTCGCCCATGGCCATCCATTCCTTCATTTTCTCAAAACCCCCATGGGTTTTAATGAGCAGTGCAACTCCTCCTCCCCCTATCTCCTCCCTATGTCTTTCCTGAGATTTGAATATCCTGGATGGAAAAAGCTGAATCTGTTATTATTCTGGTGAGTTTTGTTTCTGTGGAGTGCTATTTATGTCTGGGAGTCTTTTGTTTCTTTCGTGCAACTCCCTCATACTTGTTTGTTATTCCATCTGATTTGTTTTAATCACACTTCAACTTCTTTTCTAAGGACTGTGGTCTGGGAAGTATATTGGTGGTTGGGGAAGTGGAGAATGGGTAGGGAACTTGGGAGTTGTTGCTGTGGGGAGTGAAGTTTGTTAATGTTAGTGAGGAGGTGGGGGCATTGGTGGGGCATGGGTGTTTTTGTTTTAGGTGTGTTGGGTTGCACTGGGGTATGACCTGGTTGGGGGCTCTTTAGAAAGTTGTGAGGGGGGCTGTGTTAGATTTCTTCCTGGGTCTCGGGATCTCCTGTCTGTCTTCTCCATCCCCTCTCTTTCTCCTTTCTCTTTGTACCATCTCTCTCAGTTTCTTCCTTTCTTCTTGTGTTCTTTCCGCGGTCCGAGATTACCACCTCCTGTATGCCGTCAGGTCCCTTATCGTGCTTTCTCCTGCAGTATCCTGGTCCGAGTCGCTTCTGCCTGAAGGTCACTTCACTGGCCGGGTTCTTTTTTTACAAACCCCCCTATTCTCCGAACTGACAAATTTTCCAGCTGGGTCATATAGTTTCTCCTATGCTTTTCATGATGCTTTCAATTGCTTTTTTTTCCCCGTGTTTCTTGCTTCATTGTTTCCCCTTCGACTTCTGGAGCCCCATACACAAGATGACCTCACCTTTCATTCTCCCACTCATATCCCTGTGTATTCCCTCATTTAATTTGGTTTTCCTCCACTGCAAGCTTTCCTTTCATCAGTTTCACAGGCTAATGTCATTGGGCTCAGTGGCTGTTCATGTTCCCTTTCGGCTTTCATTGGGCTATGTTGTTGTTGTTAGGGCTCCACATAAAGCTTAGCTCTTTCATTTGTACAGTCTCCTCTGATAGAGCATCTCAGGCAGTTGTGCCATTCTTTCCTACAGTCCCCTTATTTGTGGCTGAGGTAGCAGTATCTGTTGTCAATCCAAATGTTCTTTAAGTTCTTTAGGCAGTTTTCAGATTTTTAGTTACTCTTCTAAACTTGTATCCTAGCTTCTGACTGCTTTGACATGCACCTCCCACTTCCTGCTTTCCATATCTATCCTCTCTTCCATTTCATGCTAAGTTTTCTAGTTTCTTTTCCCCAGTCATGTTCCCTTTTATGAGCTCTGCTGCCCAATCTTCCTGTGCATTTTCCTCCTCCTGTCCTTGGTTTTTCTTTGTACTCTTGGAACCCATTTTTGTTTTATCTGATTGCTTCAGTAGAGTGGGGAAACTATGTAGTTCTGTATGTTAGGTTAGACCCATAGTGTGTGTGTCAGAGTGTGGGGGGGGAAGTAGTCGGAGGAACTGTGGCTATTTGGGAGCTGAGTGGGGAGCCCAGGGGGGTGTGCGGTTTGGGTGTGAACGGGGAGGGGAGGTGATCGAGGGAGGGGAATGGATCAGGGGTAGTAGTGAGATTCGGGTGGGGAGGGGGAGTGTGTGTTGCGTTGGATATGTGTGTACTCACCTATTTGTACTCACCTATTTGTGGTTGCTGGAGCCGTCGAGTCCTAGCTCCTGGCCCAGCCTCTTCAAGGTTGCTACTAGGCCCTCTCTCTCACCGCTCATGAGGCTTTATCAAACCTCGTTCTTTAAACTGTGTATGGTTCCTGCTCCACTGCGTCATTTCTAGGCTATTCCACTGCCTTACAACTCTGGTGTGTGTGTGTGTGTGTGTGTGTGTGGGTGTGTGTGTGTGTGTGTGTGTGTGATGGGTGAGTGCTGTGTCGTTTGTGTGTAATTTTGTGGTGTATTGTGTGTGGAATTATTCTGTGGGTTTATTAATGTACTGAAAGGTAGGTGGCTTGTGCTTGGAGTGTAATGTGGATTCACAGTCTGTCGCTTGTGTCCACAACCTCTTCTGGACTGACTCCCACCCTTGCAGTGTTGCCTATATCACCCTGTTTATAGTGTGTTAATCGCCTTGGTTCAATGGATTACCATTTGTAAACCTTACTGATACTTGGTGCTATTTCTTTATCGTGCTATGAGAGTTGACCATTCAATTCAGCTTGGCGGTTAAAATTGGAACCTGGACCCAACACCCAAAACTCCACTCATAGGTGATAACATACTTGTAGCTGCAGTTGTAAGCAGTGTAGAGGTTGTCCAGGTCGATGTGACGTCCTGGAGTAGATCCAGTCGATGTACGTCATGGCGTTAGATTCCACCTCAATTTCTTCTCGTTAATAAAGTATCCCTATTCACTGTATTTCTTTCACTGGTCACACTATTGTTTCACTTTATTTAAAAATCTTGGGTGACACTTGCAACGCCGCCTTCAACCAGAGGCTTCCCTTGTACGTGGACTCCAGGCTCCTCACAGAGCTCTCTTTACGTGGAGACAGGGCTCCTCCCAGAGGCTTCTCTTGTACGTGGAGACCGGGCTCTCCCAGAAGCTTCTCTTGTAACGTGGAGGACCAGGGCTCCTCCAGAGGCTTCTCTTGTACAGTGGAGACCAGGGCTTCCTCCCAGAGGACCTTCTCTTGTACGTGGAGGACCAGGGCTCCTCCCCGAAGGCTTCTCTTGTAGTGGGACCAGGGCTCCTCCCAGAGGCTTTCTTGTACGTGGAGTCCAGGGCTCTCCCAGAAGCTCCCTTGTCGTTGGGTGACTAGGGATCTCCCTAGCTTCCCTTGTACTGGTGACCAGGGCTCTCCAGAAGCTTCCCTTGTACGTGGAGACTAGGGATCCTGCCCAGAGGCTCCCTTGTACGTGGATGACAGGGGCTCCTCCCAGAGGTTTCCCTTGTACGTGGAGACCAGGGTTCCTACCAGAGGCTTCCCTTGTACGTGGAGACCAGGGGCTTCTCCCATGAGGCTTCACCTTGTACGTGGAGACCAGGGCTCTCCCAGAGGCTTGTCCCTTGTACGTGAGGCCTGGGCTCCTCCAGAGCTTCCCTTGTACATGGAGACCAGGGCCTCCATTCCAGAGGGCTTCCTTGTACGTGGAGTCCTGGGCTCCTCCTAGAAGGGCTTTCCCTTGTTAGGGAGGACCGGGCCCTCCCAGAGGCTTCTCTTGTACGTGGAGACCAGGGGCTCTCCAGAGGCTTCCCTTTTACGTGGAGACCAGGGCTCCTCCCAAAGGCTTCCCTTGTACGTGGTCGACCAGGGCTTTTCCAGAGGCTTCCCATGAACGTGGCAGACAGGGCTCCCCAGAGCTTCCCATGTGCGTGGGTGATCAGGACTCCTCCCAGAGGCTTCCCATGTACGGTGGAGAATAGGGCCTCCTCTCAAAAGGCCTTACCATGTTAGTGGAGACCAGGGCTCCTCCAGAGGCTTCCCTTGTACGCGGTGATCAGGGCTCCTTCTCAGGGCTCCCATATTAGCGGGAAGACCAGGGATCCTCCAGTAGGCTTCCTTGTACGTGGAGACCGGGTTCCTACAAGTCTCTCCATTTTAGTGGTGATCAGAGCTCCTCCAGAGGGTTCCATGACGTGGAGACCAGGGTCTTACCAGAGGTTTCCCTTGTTCTGGAGACCAGGGCTCCTCCCAGTTGCTTCACTTGTACGTGGAGACCAGGGCCTCTCTCAGAGGGCTTCCCTTGTACGTGGGAGACCAGAGCTCCTCAGGAGGCTTCTCTTGTACGTGGAGCCAGGGCTCTCCCAGAGGCTTCCTTGTACGTGGAGACCAGGGCTCCTCCCAGAGGCTTCCCTTGTACGGTGGAGACCAGGGATCCTTCATGAGGCCATTCCCTTGAACAGTGGAGCACAGGGCTCCTCTCAGTGCTCCCCTTGTACGTGGTGACCAGGGCTCCTTCAGAGGATTTCTTGTACGTGGAGACCAGGGCTTTTTCCCAGAGGCTTCCCATGAACGTGGAGACCAGGGTTCCTCCCTATGGCTTCCCTTGTAGTGGGAGACCAAGGCGCTTGGTGTCCCTCGGCTTTCCCTTGTACGTTGAGATCAGGGCTCCTCCCAAGAGGTTTCCTTGCTCTTGGAGAACAGGGGCTCTCCCGGAGGCTTCACTCCTCCCAGAGGCTTCCCTTTGTACGTGGAGACAGAGCTCCTCCCAAAGGCTTCCCTTGCACATGGAGACTGAGAGCGCTTTCCGTAGGCTTTCCTTGTAACGTGAGACCAAAGATTCTTGCACAGCTTTATTTCTACGTGGAAATTAAGCTCCTTCTAGAGGCTTTTCTTGTACGTGAAAACCAAAGCTCTCCCAGAGCTTTCCTAGTAAGTGGAGACCAGAGCTGCTTTCCAGAAGTTCCTAATGAACATAGACACCAAAAATCCTTTTACCAGAGTGCCTCCTGTTACTAGATAGTGATATCACAATATATCAATTTAATTTTATTGAATTTCACGTAGGGGGAATGTAGAATGAAAGGGAGAGAAGGGAAGAGAGGAGGTGATTAATATAATGTTGAGGCAGCAAAAGGGGATCTTAGAAAACCAAGAGCTGTGTGGTAAAGAAAGAACGTTAGGATGAGACATAGAAAGATGAGATCGAGGGGTAGAAGAGACATAGAAAGATGAGAGCGTGGGAACGCAGTGCGCAAGAGGAAGTGGTAATATTTGCATTAAACTTTTAAGTTAATCGTGAATTACGCTTTTAACAAAAAGATACAAAAAAAAAAATTACGATTTTTGTACAACGAATGGTGTTTCACTTCTTGCACAAAGGGATTTACTGGACGGTTAAACGTTCGGCTTCAGCGAAGGTAGGCCATTAAACCCAGTCATCTTTTAGTTAAAGGGTATTTTATCGTGCTTCAACTTCCTCGGTAGTGACGTGCAATGAAATGTAAATGTCAGTATGTTTTACGGTGTGTGGTCTCCTCAGTCGTCTCTGTGTGCTCTCAGTATTGCGGTGTGGGCTCCCTCAGTCCTCTCTAGTGGCTCTCAGATGCCGGTGTGGTGCTCCCTCAGTCTCATCTCTGTGGCTCTCAGTATTGCGGTTGTATGGTGCGCCCTCAGTCATCTCTGTGGCTCTCAGTATTACGGTTGTGGTGCTCCCTCAGTCAATCTCTGTGGCTCTCAGTATTACGGGTGTGGTGCTTCCCTCAGTCATCTCTGTGGGCTCTCAGTCTTACGGCGTGGTGCTCCTCAGTCATCTTTGTGGCTCTCAGTAATTACGGTGTGGTGCTCCCTCAGCCATCTCTGTGGCTCTCAGTATTCTGACACGCATGGATAAATAGTCACTTCTTTCTGTTATACTTATTGACAGTAATTTGTGTTATAAACTGATTAACTAAAATGTTTATCTAACATAACTTACGTGAGATACGCAAAATTCGGATTCATTATATTAAAAGACGTTGGGTTTTAGGGACTGATCGTTAATGCAGGCAATAAAACAGTTGATTTGTTGCTCACCAGCTTCGTAACTCCGGCACCAGTGGAACTTGCAAAATATGTGTAGTTCAATATACCGGTGGTATATTTTTTTGTTCAGTTACTAAGCAATAACAAAAAAATGTAAATTAGTTATTGCTAATGTGCAATACAGTACTGATGAGCGGTATAGGCGCTTTCTTTGATAATAATTATAATAATAATAATAATAATAATAATAATAATAATAATAATAATAATAATATACTGATGAGCGTACCCAGCCTTGTGTTTTGCTGTCTTTCTGTACCAGATCAAGTGGAAATAAGAAGTAGGTGGGTGGTACAACACAAGTTAAGGAAGTCCTGTATTTGTACACTGTTTCATTCTTGAAATAAGGGACTCACTGCATTGTGTCTTTTTCAACTAACTGTCGGCATATTTCCATTATTTACACCCGAAATTATAAAGTTAATATTAGCTACATTTTGGCTGGCTTCCATGTGAAGATGCTCTGGACATGGAGGAATATGCATATTTTTCCGATATTATATTAACAATTTTTGATCGCAATATTTTCTCTGTAAAGTGATATTCGGGCGTGTAGTAATCACTCGCTTGAGCGAGGATGATGCCTCGCTCAAATTAGGAGAACAATTAGGAGTTTAAAATCTCGCTTGCTATAGGTGTGGTTCATTCCTCACCCATACCTGTGGTTTCTATGGGATAACTAGTATAGATGAATAGTAAAAGTAAAGGGAACTTCGTATTGAGCTTATATCAGAGCATTAACATTATTTATTGCTCTTGAGGCGAACGCATGGATTTCAGGTCTCTTATATTCGGGCTGGGCCTTAATGTATGGATAAATGCCTCCTATTCACTCCTTCTATTCCTGGCCTCCGCTTATTCCTCTTACTATGGCCCAGTCTGTGATCTCACATAATCTGATAATTCTCACAGAATTTTTTTTATGTCTCATTCTCGTGCTGGTAGCTAGCGGAGACTGAAGACTGGTGTTTTCACCAGGTCCTCGTGCTTGTGCTAGCTAGGAGGAAGCTGGTTCACCCAGGTCCGTGCTGGTAGCTAGCTGAGGGATGAAGGAACTGGTTCTCACCCAGGTCCTCGTGCTGTAGCCTTAGTGAGACTGAAGACTGTTCTCACCCAGATTCGTGCTAGTAGGCTAGCTGAGACTAGAAGACTGGTTCACCAGCTCCTCGTGTAGTAGCTAGCAGGACTGAAGACTGGTTCACCCAGCTCTGTGCTAGTAGCTAGCTGAGACTGAAGACTGGTTCACCCTGCTCCTCGTGCCTAGTAGTAGCTAGGAATGAAATGACTGTTCACCCAGTCTCGTGCTAGTAGCTAGCTAGACTGGAAGAACTGGTTTCACCAGCTCTCGTGCTAGGTAGCTAGCTTGGACTGAAGACTGGTTCACCCAGCTCCTCGTGCTAGTAGCTAGCTGAGACTGATGACTGGTTCACAAGGTCTCGTGTGTAGCTAGCTAGAGATTGAAGACGGGGTTCACCCAGTCCTCGTGTAGTAGCTTGCTTAGGACTGAAGATGGTTCACCCATGCTATCGCGCTAGTAGCTAGCTAGGACCTAGAAGACTGTTCACACAGCTCCCGTGATAGTGCTAGTAGGACTGAAGATGGTTCACCCCAGCTCATCGCGCTAGTAGCTAGCTAGGGACTGAAAGACTGTTCACCCATGCTCATCGCGCTAGTAGCTAAGCTAGGACTGATAGGGACTGTTCACCCAGCTCATCAGTGCCTAGTAGACTAGCTAGGACCTGAAGACTGGTATCCCCAGCTCATCGCGCTAGTAGTAGCTAGGCCCTGAAGACTGGTTCACCCAGACCAGTCCTCGTTGCTAGTAGGCTAGCTAGGACTGAAGACTGGTTCACCCAGTCTCGTGCTATGCTAGCTTGAGACTGAGATGGTTCACCCAGTTCCTCGTTCTAGTAGCTAGCTTGGACTGATGACGGGTTCACCAGCTCCTCGTGCTAGTAGCTAGCTAGGACTGAAGGGACTGGTTCCACCCAGCTCCTCGTTGCTAGTAGCTTAGATAGGACAGAAGACTGGTTCACCCAGCTGCTGCGTTTATTTAAGGCTTCAATTCTAAGATTTGAACATCATATCTGACATTTCTGAGAATTAATAATACATTTAATATTTTTACTGTTGAAGGGTCATGAGGTACGCAGCGAAGTATGTAGCTGAGGCATTATTGTTATTCATATTTTCTTGACTGTTCAAAGAAACATTTACAGTTTTTATTTATTTATTATTTTATTTACAGTCTTATCAGTCAGGGTACTTATGGACACCCCCCCCCCCCCCCCCCCCCCCCCCCCCCCCCCCCCCCCCCCCCCCCAGTAGTATTTCTGATTATCAGTCTAACATTATCATTCTATCAGTCCACTTCAGGTGATCACGGAGTTTGGTCAACAGATACCATCATTTAGGTATTTATTGAAAATCCAGTTAAAAATACGTTTATAACTTCAATTTAAAAAGTTGGTCTTAACTGCTGTGTGAATACCACCCTCGGGCAAGCTAGGTGTCTGTGCAGTTCAATCAGTTAAGAGACGCAACCATATTGGAGTCAAATCTCTCCAAGGAATAGTGGGTAGGCATGCATCTATGCATATATATACCGTATGCATTTGGGACATGGTATACCGTTTAGATTGCAAACTTAGAAGAAGCGCCGGAGAAGAGGTATGCCTGAGTGGTGACCAAAATGAAATCTTTGCACGGAAAGTAGGCGAGGTGGCGTTATCACAAGACGTGGGATGTCAGAGAGGATAATTGCAACGTGATTTTACGCGGTCAGTGTTAAATCAGACAAGAACTCAACCCAAATAAAAAAAAAAAAAAAAAAAAAAAAAAAAACCCCTCGTCGAGCAGAGGGGCGGAGTCTGACATTTTCTTCCTTTATCTCTTGCTATGCAAGAGCATCTGGCACAGCAAGAGGGGGAGACCAGGATCCTCTGAGGCAACAGGACACATGCTATCGTGAGGCAACTTCTGCTGTAGTGACGTACTCGCATATGAAGGACCTGAAGCGCGAGCTGGGAGGCTTGTGGGACCAACACCATGGTGATCCGGTAAACTAAAATAGACCTCAGCTTTATTGTGTAATAAGAAATTATAGCGTGAGTGAATACTAAGTTAAAAATAGGTCTGAGGCTGAAGAAGGATGTAAGTGAGAATGTAGCTCGATAGTAAAAGTATGAACTAGGTGTCAGATTGTTTGTAGTGTGAGGAGTGGTTGCAAGGTCGTTTAACAGCTCCTGGCTTGATGTGTGTGTGGTTAAAGAGAGAGATGAGAGAGAGAGAGAGAGAGAGATGGAGAGAGAGAGAGAGAGAGAGAAGTGGGTGAGTCGGAGGAGGAGGAGATGAGTGGAGGTGAGAGAAGTGAGAGGTGAGGAGATGAGAGGAGAGAGGAGAGTGAGAGAGAGGGAGAGAGAGGGAGAGAAGAGAGAGGGAATGAGAGATGAGGGAATGAGAGAGACAGAGAGAGAGAGTGAGAGGAGGGAGAGAGAGAGAAGAGAGAGAGAGAGAGAGAGAGAGAGAGGAGAGACGAGAGGAGAGAGTTGAGAGAAAGACAGAGAGAGAGGGAGAGAGAGAGGAGAGAGAGAGGGATGAAGGAAATTAAGAAAGGCAAAACAAACTTCTTGAAGGAAATGTTCAGCTGAAAACTCTTTACACTGTTATTTTGCAAACTTTTCACTATTTCCTTTAGATTCCTTATTTTTTGTAGAGATATAATACCAGTTGAATCCCTCAGAACTGTACTCTGGCTAATATCTTGATAGACACTAAAGGACTCAAACATATTCCTGGAGGTGCGGTGATTGTGCGTCATCCCAGAAATAGTTTTGATTCGTTTCCTCGTTAAGAAAACTCTCAGATACAAAGGCCCAAGTGTCTAATCGAATTGCCTGGACGAAGGGTAACTAACAAACTAACACACACACAGACACACCAAAACCACCCCACACACACACACACACACCACACAACCACACACACCCACACACACACACACACACACACACACACACACACACACACCACACACACACACACACACACACACACGCTTGTCGTGTCAACGTGGAATGTTTAGACTCAGCACGAGGAATTAAAATTCTCCCAAGTAATGTTTACACTGATATATGTATCAGCGGACACCCAGGAAGACAGCCCAGGCTTCCTAGTCTTGATATTCATGCCCTGAGTGAAGGGTCCACCCAATGCGGAGTATTTTGTATTTGTCTCTATGACCCTTTGATTGGCCAGGATCTTGTCCAACAAGGAGAGAGGATGTTGAAGCAACTAACACAAATTCTGATCCTTTGATCTTGATGAGCGAGAATCTTGTGGAAGCGCTAATGGTCATACAGAGCCTGGGAAATGGGAGACAGTGACGTTTGAATCGAGAAAGGAGAGGATAGCTCTTCACTAAAAATAATCAACATCGTCTGTCATCCCTACAACTCAGGAATACGTAAGATCGCTTTTCTACCCTACTATACAGAAATAAGATTTACCTGCCTGCCTTCCTACCCAAGGGCCCTCAAAATAAAATAATCTGTTTACCTTACGACCTCAGAAATATGATCGCCTTCCTACCCTCCAACTCAAAAAATAAACTCGTTGTCTCCTCGACGACCTCAGCAATCAGATCGGGATGATCTCTTTTTATTATCATCATCACATTTTTTCTTCAATCACGCGTAATTTAGTGTTGAATATTAATATCTCTCCAGGGTGCCTTGGTTCGTTCCCG